TGTTTCAGTTTTTTAGAAAGAAATCACCCTACTCTGGTAATAAACGGCTTCATATATAAAAGAGATAGAGATTATTCAACAAAATGCACAAAAAGAACAAGGAGCCAGACACATTTGCACAGCATGGTAGTTATATAAATCAGGGGACTTCAACTGGTGTAGTTTCCAAAGTTTTCATGCAGACTGAGATTGGATAATGTGGAGTTATGTAACGATTTTTCGCTCCATCTTATCTCCTAAAACCCAGCAGGACTCAACACAGAGTCATTATCTTATCCAGCAGGTACTGACATAAGATAATTAAGTATTGACCGTGTTGAGCAAACCTTCCTGTCGTCCCTCAGATCTAAACCTTCATGAAAATGACCGTTAGGGGACTCCTGTTGTGCTGTATAAATAAAGTGAATTCCAGCAGCTATCTCACATCAACACTGGCAGCCAGGCTGAGTAATTGATCTCTTGGGATTGTTTGAGATCTCTTTCCCACATTCCGGAAACAGTGGCTTAAAATAATGAAACACAAAAACAGAATCAGTAAAGAGGCAATGCTAAAAACAGAAACCCAGTATTTCCATGTTGATCTGCACGCAGGACTAATTCAAATATTCATCTTTACACGTTGAAAATCATAAATACAGCACTTAAGTCTCTTTCAACAAGGTTTTTAACAATCTATATGATCAATTAACTGGAGACCAGTCAAATAAACATATTTATAGTAAATAGATTTACAAAGCCTGCAATGTAGTCCTGAAGCCTCAAGAGATACACGCCACAAGTGAAGAGGAAACATTGGCTTTGGTATGCTGGGGAAGATTCTCAGTCATCCAGCCCTCCTTTGTTTGGCTACTGAATAAAGCCTCAAACTCAACACTACTTCTGACATTTTGATTGAAGCTTCCTGGATGGGAAGCGAAATGTCTTCAAACTTGGAAACAAAGTAAAGTGGATTGTTTTTTTGTTTTTTTTCGATTGGTTTTGGTAACCACAAAATAGACCTAAATCAATGACACCTTTCGACACATATCCCGCAGTCTTTTTCAAATGTGTCGCCTCGCACTATATTTTTCTAGTTTCCATGATGGATGACTTAGAATTTACACAGCCATATTGCACTTTGGTGATCCAACAGCACATTATTCATCAGAAGGATACAAGCGGACCGAGAATAACTACGGAAGCCGAGAGTGGTCATGTCTTTCTGAAATTTTTGATGGTGATATTCTCGAGAAAAGAAGTACATTTTATTATTATCTAAAGATAATGAAAGACGTTTTCTCAAAATAAGATGATCAATCTGTGTTAAAAATTATTACACCCTTCAATACCATAACAGCGGGAGAGGATTTATAAGTATTAGTCATGGCAGCCTATGTGTAATTCTGTAATTAATTTTGTGTTTAACTTTTAGGTAACGAGACGACGTTGTTGGTTTGATAATTTGCTTGAACTTCTGATTCATAAGCAATTAGACCTATGCCTCTGGCGCCTTAGCATCTGGTGTTTTCTGAAGAGCCCCTGCAAACAGGTATAAGATGCATTAGCCCCCACAATGATTTGTTTATACTGTTTTCCATGCAAACCAATCATCCACTAAAACTTGACAATAAGTGAAAAGAAAAAGGAAACTAAAAAACTGATTATTTGCGTACACGTGGTACCACAACTGAACAAATACTGGCACTGCAGGCATGGATGGACTGGGAATCCAGAGCTGTTGGCCAGCCTCAATCATTACTTATACAGGTTAATTATCTTGTTATCTCAAGAAATCAAAAAATGTTTTCCCATGATAAAGAGAAAAATATCTTGTAATCTCGAGAAAACAATTAATGGTTTAACTGATGACGAGATAGTTATGTCATTATCTCGAGAAGGCAAAGGAAAAGAAAAAAAATTGTGTGTATGACCGCTCTCGGCTTCTGTAGCTAGCCCAAAAACAAAACAAAACATTTCTTAAATGTGTCAAAAAAGAAAAAATGTCTTTACGATCTCTAAGATCTTTGGGGATATCTTAAAGAACTACTTTAAAATAAGGTTCCTCTAACAAATAGTTTGAAGATATGTTATAAATTAATCTATGAAAACGTGGTTAGAAACTAGGGACATTTTTATTCTAGTTAATTATAGGGTCTGTAATTAATTAATCACAAATTATCGCATTTTAATCAAAAACCACATAAATAAAAAAACACCCTCTTTCAAGTCAAAAAACTTTTTTGCTCCTAAATAATTAAATACATTAACGTCATAGGACAGCAACACGTATATTTTTTGATATTAATCCATTGTTTTGTTTATTCAACCATTAAACTGGTTGGAAATAAAAATCATTTAGCTTTTAAAAAACTCCTGATATTTTAAGCAACTTCTGTTTAAAACTAATCCTAAAAAAGTATGAACAGAACATAAACTTTTATTACAGCACAATTACTTCCACTGAATTGGGTAAAAAGCCGTACAATTCTACTTTGAGTTGACTTTTGCTGTTAAGAGAAGTTAAAGTTCCAATTCTAAAACTGACAGCATAAATATGGCAGCACAGCTATGCATAGCAGCCTTTCCTTTCGGAGCTTAACAGTTTCTATTCAACATGCAACATTTACTATGACAAACATCATGTCGTAACCCCTTTTACCAGGGAGTTGTTCAGTTTTTCAGATATGTTCTTACTATATTAGGCTTTAATCTCGTCATGCGGTCCGATAGGGAAGCATTAGTTTTGAGAATATCTGTGCTTCCACAATATGAGCTGTTTCATTCCTTTCTGACTGTCAGTGGAAGTATTCAAAGTGGATATTATTTTTTACGCTCTGCGAAGGTCGAGGCTCTAATGTAAAACAGAGGTTAGCTACCTGACATAGCTAACGTAGCCCACCTGACTGTCACATCATTAAAAAACACCTATGTTCCTTGCAGGG